TACCTTTGACTTAGGGCGACCCGATCCTGGTGTTTTCTTAGCAAGATTTGTTCAGAGGAGGTTCACCATTGCATTCCCCTGGGGCTGAGAGTGTGTGACTTGCACAAGTGCAACCTAGTGGGTTTTCATGGCTTAGCTGGGAATCGAACCCTGGCCTCCAGAGTCACAATCCAACACTCACAAAGCGCTGTGCAATGCTGGGTCCCCAGCATCTGCAACACAGAAGCATTTTTTGGGATGTGTAGTACTCAATGATGGGATGTGTAGTATAAACACACTATGGCTATCAGGCTTTTAGCTTAGCCTTATTTTTGCCTTGTTGTCTGGCACCAAGGATATAAATGTGTTGATCCAGTGAATCTATTCTAGTTGGGGCTAGCCACCAGATTTAGGACTTGGGCCTCATCTGCACTACAGAACTAATGCAGTTTGACACTGCTTTAACTGCCATGCCTCCATGCTATGGAATTGGGGGATTTGTGAGCTCTCTAGCCTTCTCTGTCAGAGAGCTCTGGTACCGAAACAAGCTGCAAATCCCAGGAATCCATAGCATGGAGCCATGGCAGTTAAAGCGGTGCCAAGCTGTGTTATTTCGGCAGTGCAGATGAGGCCTTGGACTACAACTCCCACAATTGTAGGGGATTCTGGGTGCTGTAGTCCAAACACCAGACTCTGGTGATTCAGAACGTGGGAATAGTTGGGCTAACCCTGACCCCAAAAGGCCTTTCTTGGCCAGCCTTCAGATCCTGTAGCATTTTTGGAAAAGCAATTGCACTTTGGACAATGTTGGCCCCTCTCTCTGCTCCTGCAGAACCAGATGAGCTGACCATGTCCCAAACAACCTTCAGGGACCTCTCTGGGTTTTCGGTATATACAGTCTTTGCCTGTTTTGGAGTAAGGATGCAAAGCGTTCCAGGTGTGCAGCTCAGATGCACCCAAAGTGCTGGAATGAAGACATGTTGGGACAAGTGTCTAGAATTCCCCCCTTCCTCCCCATAGAAAACCGAAATATAATTTGTGCTCACTTCAGGCAGACTGACCTGGGGCCTTTTCACACTGCACAATTACACAGCTATGATTTCACTGCTGTGGATTCATCCTATGCAGCCGGGAGGATTTGCTGCTTAGGGAGGGGAGCTGGAACTTCTCAGCCAAAGAGATGCTCTAGGACCGGGAGTGAGTCCCAAACTCTGGTCCTTTCAGGTGTTTCGGACTTTGACTCCCGGAAGCTTCATCCATCTTGTCCAGTGGCCCAAAACACCTGGAAGGCCAGCATTTGGGAAGCAGCGAGTGTCTCACTCATTGCTGCCAGGGACACATCTGGTGAAGATAAAACACATAATAAGCTAGCAGACACTGCAGCACTTTGCTTTTGCCTGAGCTGAGTGGGAAGGGGAAGATTCAGTCTCTTCTTTTCTTCTCCTTTCTTCCCTGCTGTGTTGATTGATTGCAAACTACTTTTGCATTTTGGCAAAGGTTATGAATGGAGAAGGAAACACAAGCTAGGAGAGGCTGCAGCAGTTTGCTTTTGCCTGAGCTGACTGGGAAGGGCAAGATCCGATCCCTTTCTTTCCTCCCTCTCCTTTCTTCCCTGCTGTGTTAATCGATGGCAAACTACTTTTGCACTTTGGCAACAGTTATGAATGAGGAAGAAGACACAAGTTAGGTGAAGCTCTGTGTGTGTATTGTGTGACCTGAAGTCATTTCTGACTTATGGTGACCTTGTCCTGGGGTTTTCTTGGCAAGATTTGTTCAGAGGAGGTTTACCATCGCCTTCATTGGGGAGGGCAGTGCTTTCATTTTGCTGCACCCCTGAAGATTGTAGACCATAGAACCATTGTGTTGGAAGGGAACCCAGAGACGATCTACTCCAAGCCCTTGCCATGCAGGAATACACAACCGAAGTGCTCCTGAAAGTGCCATCCACCCTCTGTTTCAAAGAAGGAGAGCCCATCATCCTTGGAAGCAGTCTGTTCTCCTGTCCATCTCAGGAGGAATCAACACGTAACTGGTTATAATGCTCTCCAGATCTCTTTTGACACACTGCACAGTTGTTTGCCGTCTGCTTGGCTAGTCTGGGCCGACAGGTTGGTCTCCTTCGAAGGGTCTCTTTCAGAGGCCTTGGCCATGCTTCTCTCTTCCTCCCTCTCCCTATTTTTCCTGCCCAGTTTTGAATAAACTCTGCCTCCCTTTGCAGCCAAAATGCATGAAGTTGAGGCCAGTGGGAATTGGCTGCCATGGAACGATTACGCTTTCCCCCACAGAGGTTATATTATGTGGCGGCTGGTCCGGTAACACTGAGCGATCTGTGTGCAAGAGTTGGACGGCTTGCGCAGCCCATGCGCGGAAACATCAGTCGGAGCAGCTGCCTGGCTAGAGAGTGACCGGCAGGAATTGAAACACAAATAGGCATTTCAGCCCAGGCCTTGCGAAGGATGATCTGGTTTCTGTCGATAGGAACTGGCAGATGAAACGAGAGTGCTAGGCCCTTTGGGGGAAAGAAACAGCAAAAAAAAAAAAAAACCCCTACAAAACACCCAAGGTAGCCGTGTTGGCCCCATAGCAAATCTAATAACATCCAAAATCCACCAAACAGTGATACCTTTATTGGACCAACCAAAATGCATAATATACATGTTGCAAGCATTGGAAACTCTACTGGCTCCTTCATCAGGTAAAGATGCTCTCCTGTATAGTTTTTAACATCTTTGCCTGATGAAGAAGCCAGTAGAGCTTTGAAAGCTTGCAACATGTATATTGTGTATTTTGGTTGGCCAATAAAGGTATCACTTTTGGGTGGATTTTGGATGTTATTTAAAAAAAATACCTACAGTTAGAGCTTGGGAAAGTTACTTTTGAGAACATAAGACAGCTTCCTCTCTTCTCCACTGGACTCAGCCAAGTTGCTTGTTAAAGGTCTGGCTGTGTGCATCTATGCCATCACAAAACACAAGATTGTAGAGTAATCTGCAATAGACACCTTGAATCCCATTTTGGAAGAAAGATGGGATATACAATGGGTTTAGTTCCAGGAACCCACCCATGCCACTCCATTGATACCGAAATCTGTGGATGCTCGAGTCCCATTATACCCAATGGCTTAGTAAAATGATATCCCTTATATAAACTGGAAAAATCAAGGATTGCTTTTTGGAATTTAAATTTTTAAAAAGATGTTTTCAAGCCATGAATGCTTGAATCCGTGGATGAAGAATCCATGGATAAGGAGGACCAACAGTATAATAAAATAAATAAATTATAAACCACAAAATGCATCTTCTTCCCATGCAGCTGATGAGCGGTAAAATAAATAACCATTGTGGCAGTAGTGTCATAATCGTAACTAAACAGTGGTTGTGAATATGGAACAGTGATGGATGAGCAAATCTAGGTAACTGTTCTGTATTTGTGTTTGCTTTAAAGTCATGATTGTGACTAAGAGCCAGCGTGGCATATTGGTTTGAACACTGGACTAGGACTTGGGAGACGAGGGTTTGAATCCTGGCTCAGACACGTAAGCCCACTGGATGACCTTAGCTAAGTCACACTCTCACAGCCTCAGAACATGACAATGGCAGACTTCCTCTGCAGGAACTTGCCAAGAAAACCCCATGACTTGAAAGTACACTATTACTACTACAATAACAACATGGTTAAGACAGCATTGCCACCATTGTAAACCACTTCCCACCTACTTTACTGAGCATCAACTGCATGTAGAGAAGGAGGTTCATTCTACTAGATGTCTGTGACTGACATTTCCATCAGGTTTGGAGGGGCGTTGGGCCTGGAGAAGTTACTTAACCAAGTATACTTACAAGCCCACCTCTAGTTTTGGAAGTCCACATCTGGTTTTGTAATGCGTATGGCCAGTAATCAATTGTCCATACATAGAGCAATGGTCTGACCTAATGTAAGCAACTCCCAGTGTTTTGTAAACAGATATTTACACATACGCATAGGATGCCCAGGTATATGAGAATGTCAGCTTCTGCTTTGCTCCTGTTTCTAAAAGTGCTGGCTTTGAGCTGTGATAATTCATCTTTTTTTAAAAAACCACCCACCACTTTTAGCAATACCAGACACATGGCTGAGTTTATGACCAAGACTCAGAAGGTCATGGGATTCCAGCTGGTTAATTCTTAGTCTTTTCTCTCCTCGCTCCCTCCCCTGCCCACTCTTTTAATGCAGTATTTAGTTTGCCCCATTTTTTTGCTAAAGGAAATGAATGACCCAAATGCGTAGGGTCTCAGAAATATATACATTTATGTAGCTGTTCCCATGGAATTTATCTTGGAAGGAACCTGTTCACTTTGCCAGTTTGATGTAGCAAGGTTGCTTTTGGGTGTTTCTCAATGGCTTTTAGGAATGGCTGCTTTGAGATGTGTTTTTTCAAGGTCTTGGATAAGTGTCTGAAAGTTTGGATTGAAACCCAGCATGGTTTCCTCTCCTCACTTTCTTGAAAGTGGCCACCCACTCCTGGTTGTGGTGGGTTTTCTTAGCAGGATCCATTGTATTACTTTTTTATCTTGAATCCTACTTTTGGGCAAAAAGTGAGGTATAAATAAAGTGAGAGATAAGATAGGATACCTTTTTTGTTTTTTATTGACAGAAAATAAACAATTGCATAAAGAAAACAGAAAGAGTGTTATACATCCATAGATAGATAGATAGATAGGTTACAGATGTGGCTCCAATTCTGCACAGACCATTCCTGCATTCTGATAGCATTGGCCTCTGCTCCCCAACACATCACAAAATGCACCTTTTTTTGCACAGTGCAAATCCTTTACAACTGATTAAGAACTCCCTCTTCAGTCTTTGCCATGCAAGATGGCTCACCCATAAAGCATGTTGTTGTTGATGTTGTGTGCATTCAAGTCATTTCCAACTCATGGCGACCTTATCATGGGGTTTTCTTGGCAAGATTTGTTCAGAGATTTGCCATTGCCTTTCCCTAAGGCTGAGAGAGTGTGACTTGCCCAGGATCACCCTCACCCTAACCGAGCAGGGACTTGAACCCTGGTCTCCAGAGTCATAGTCCAGCAGTCAAAACCACTACACCGCACTGTCTCTCCCTGCCAAATAACAACCTCTCTCTCAATCTTTAGCCATGTAAAATGGCTTACTCACCAAGCAGGGATGGTCTTAATTCCCTTTTTCTGAACCCC